CTGACCTGCTCCAGCAGAGCCAAACCTCCAGTCAGCAGCTTCACCTGGTTCAAGAAGAGCAGAGATGGAGCTGTGAAAGTATCTGAAGGAGAGATTTACAGCTTCAGTGTAACAGATGGAGGAGTTTATTACTGTGTGGCCACTAATGATCTGGGTAATCAGACATCAGCAGAGCTTCATTTGACTGAAGGTAACGTTACTCAGCAGATTTTTTTTTCATTTCAAAATGTTTTTGACTGGATCCAACAAATGAAGTGTTAAAAGCATTTTTTTCCCATTATTCTATTTTTTGTAATATATGTCAGAAGAAAGCAGAAAGAGAGGTGTGTTTTATGTGAGATTGAATTGTGTTTTATGAACTTCTAAGATTTTACTTCATCCTTCATCAAGACTAAGACCTGAACCTGTGGTTGTTCAGGTCTTATTTGTTAAAGTTATGGTTTTCTTGGATCTTGTTTCACCTTAAATTTTTCTATTTACTGTTAAATGTTCATTCTGTCACATATTGTTTTAATCACTCTAAAATCTTGTTGCATTAAAGGTGGAAACCTGGTTGGTGTCTACACTATAGTGAAGACTGTGTTAATCATAATGCTCGTGAGCACACTGATGGTTTTTGTTTGGTGAGACAAATGTTTCTGTGACACACTTATGTGAAAAAAGAAACAAACTCATCTGTAGTAAAATAAAATATTTTTTTTTCCTTCAGCTTGCTTCAGATCAAGACTCTCCAACAATCCAGAAACTGAAAGCTGTCAGATGAGCAGAGTCACATCACAACACATCAACTGAAGTTTCTTCAGGAGGACAAAATCCACCTGAAAATATCAGTAAATTCACTGCAGTGATGTTCAACAGTTTTGCTTTTTGTGTAGAGATGGTGTTGCAGGAATGGAGACATTTTCTTTGTGGACAAGTTCATGCCGGTCCTCAACTGGACTGAAATTTTTTAATAGGACCTGCTTCACTCTAAGGTCAAGCATTTTATCCATGAACACTGATCTAACCCTACACTTATGTAAGACTGCTGCAGCATGATGCTTGGACAATCCTGGCAGTTTCCACTCTGTTACAGTTTCAGCTGTTTTCCTAACATTAGTGTTAGATTCAGAATCAGACTTTATTTGGCCAAGTTTGTGCACACAAACAAAAAACAAGGAGCAAGTTACACAAAGTATTAAGAAACTATACAAAGTATTGGTACCAAACTGAGTGATGTAATATGCATATGTGTTATGACCTGAATGATGTAAGAGTGGGTCATTTCACAGTGTTCATCAGAGTGACACCTGGGGGAGGAAACTGTCTCCGTGGGTTTTGTAAACAGTGGTTTGTAGCGCCTGCCTGAAGGCTGCAGTTTGAACAGTTATTTCTGGGATGTGAGGCCCTTGTGGATCTTTGCCAAAACAATTACAAATATTTGAATGCCCCGAGGTGCTCAGGCTGAGGTGGGGGAATATCAGTGATTTACAAGTGCAAATCCATTTACTCTGAGCTCATATCATCCCTTCAAATCTAAGTATGAAAATCTATTTTGTTGTATTATTATCCACCAACCTCCTAAGTCCTGCGATGACTTCTTGAATTAATTCTCTCATCTATTTTCATATATTGCCAAATCTGACCAATTCCCTTTGGTCAGTAATTTTGATTTAAACACTGATGATAGTGCAGCATGGTAATGGTCCCACACATAACAGCGAGCACCCCTGGATCATGATTTTACTCTCATCTTATCCATAATTTCCCTGCATATGTTGTCACGGTCCTGGGCCATTGACCCAGTGTTTATTGTTGTCTGTGCCTCCCTTATGTTTGGTCTCTGTGTGTCTTAGTTGCTCTGTCTCCCCTGTCAGCTGTATCCCCTAGTCAAGTCCGCGTCTCAGTGTTACGTTTCCTGTTTTACTTTGAAAGTCTGTGTCCTTGGTGAATGTATTGAGTTTTGCTTCCCTTTGGTCTTGTCATGTCAAGCCCTGTGTTTTTCTGCCTCATGCTGTGTGTTTCCTTGTGTGCCTCTTGGTGAAGTTTAGGTTTTATTCTCCAGTTTACTTTAGTCCTGTATGATTTCCGTGTGTCAGCAATAAAGCTGCATTTTGAGTTATTCCCATGTGTTGAGATTTCTGCATTTTGGGTCCTCATCCTGTCTGCACACAGCCGAATCATGACATATGTCTGATCTACTGGCCACACATCTGTATTTTTTGACAGAGTTTTTCACTTACTGTTGTTCCCAGGAACAAACTGTTCAGTCTTGTATCTTTAAGGAGAATTCAAGAGCTGTATCAACACATCATTTTTCAGATGTCAGTGATTCACTTCATGGGTCTAATAGTCTATGTTAATCATCTATATTAAGTTTTAATATAGATGAGTAATGAAATTTGTAGGATTCTTCTCTGTCTCAAGCTGACTTTACAGAATGAAATTCTCTAAATTATCTTATTGTGTCTCCATGTAATCTTTAAAGCAATTGTTGCCGAGTTTTCTGTTGTATAAATGTTCTAAATGTACTCTGTGATCATGGCAGGTAGATGCCTTCTCTCTGTAAATATTCTAGACTTACAATCCCTCTGTGTCAGAGGGCATGCAGACTGTGGTCATGCTGTCTGTACTGTTGTTGATTTCTTTGCAAAGGTAAATAAACTGGTAAAGAGTTTCAGAGTTGATTACTAATCAGTTTTTTTTAGCATTAATTAGTACTTGAATATTAATTTTTACGATGACCCTAACAGCTTGTAATAGATAACTCCTGAACAGTGGCGGTCCTAGCCTGTTTGGTGCCCTGGACACACATAAAATATATTAAGGATTGTACATTAATATAAAACTGTTGTCGGAACCATACTGAATTTCACCAGAGAAACACACACACACATATATGAAGAGAGAGAGAGAGAGAGAGTATGCATAGTATGCAAACAGCTACTAAACAGCCATCATAATTTGTCATACAATGAGAACAGGACAGATCATCAATTGATAATGACTAATTAATATTGTGCTGAACACAGTCCAAAAGATTCAGTAAGCGACATCAGTGTCTACTGTTTACTATCATAGCCAAGTGACACTTCACTATCCCTACTAGTTGATGTTATGATGTTATTATCTCTGTTGTGGTCAGTGCGATCCTCTATGCTGTTGCATGCTGGGGCAGCAGGTTGAGGGTCACAGATGACAACAGACTAAATAAACTGATCCACAAGGCCAGTAATGTTGTGGGGATGGAGCTGGACTCCGTTAGGGTGGTGTCTGAGAGGCAGATGTTGTCCAAGATAAAGACAATGTTGGATAACACCTCCCACCCACTCCATGACATGCTGGCTAGTCACAGGAACACGTTCAGTGAGAGACTGAGATTACCGAAAAGCACCACTGGCCGACACAGGAAATCATTCCTGCTCGTGACCATCTCCCTGCACACCTCCTCCATCTAACACACTGTAAACACTGCTATAGTTACAGCCATTTTACACACGCTCTTCTCTACTCTGGAATATTCTTGTCAACTTTCTTGATATTTATTTATAATCCCCTCTGTTTATCATTGATATTTTTAATTTAGTGGTCTGTGTGTATTAGTGCCATTTCTTAAATGTGTAAAATCTGTAACATAATGTATTGTTTGGAGTTTAGTCTGTTACTGTTACTATTTTTACCATTTCTTCTTGGAGCAACTGTAACCCACATAATTTTCTTAGGGATTAATGAAGTATTCTGAATATGAGTCTGATTGTTTCAGGATGACCTGCCATTATCCAATGACACATCTGCTTACCTGCATCTTTTGCTCGTCTCTCCTCCTCTTCTTTTCTATTTTTTCTAAACTGAGCACCTGATGGCTTTGAACTTTTCTTGTTCATCTTCCATTGGTTTTCATTTTGCACTCCAGTATGAACACCCATCCCCCAACTCAGGGATCACCACAACATAACCTAATAGACCTACACCTTAGTTCACAGATTTGCTTTGTCTAAGGTTTATTTCTGGGATTTCAAATCAAGAATACATAATGGGCTTGGATTTACAACATTATGAATGAAATTTGCTCTATTTGCAAGCAGCAGGTCTCTCCTCCACTGTCGACAGGTTGTGTGTGACTTTAAATCATCAAACTGTAAATTATAAATTTTAAATTGTTATTGATCCCTTCACTCCTAGTCCTAAAGTGTATATTTATTTTCTTACTCTTCTTATATTTGTTATTCGTTTACTTGCACTGCTGTAACTGGAGCCTCGTCGTCTCGTCTCTCTACATACTGGACTGTATAGCGGAGATGACAATGAAGTTTACTTTGACTTCAGCACAGCAGCAAGCAGGCGCACTTTTCGCATACAGAATTTCGAAAAAAACATCGGTGCAAATTATAAGTCTGTATCATGATGTCTGGTGTTTTCGTGTTTGTTGGTTTGTTTTTATTTTGTTTTATTTTGCGAGTTGGTTATTAGATGCTGCTCCAGCCAGCCAGAGAATCCCCCGCCGCCCCGCCCTCTCCTCCCTGAGCCGCAAGCAGCAGGCGCACCTCGCAAACGGAGGGCGCCCTTACTCCCAGCAAATGGGCGATAGAAAACCGATGCCATTCCCAGTATGCGCTGGCTGATGTCGGGGCAGCATGAGTACGAGCAATTTTTTATTTATTTTTTGCCGATGCCCCTGATGCCGCCCCCACCACGATGCCGCCCCGGGCAACTGCCCGTGTCGCCCGTATCAAAAACCGCTGCTGCTCCTGGTGATAAGTGACGTTCATATTGGGATTTTTAAAAAAATATTTTAACTAAGGTTACGTTTGCAGGCTCTGAAGTAGTGACGTTAAAAAAATCTTTTAGGTTGTGAATGTGAGTTCAGAGTGGACGTTAAAAATAGATTGACATGTCATATCCCCTGTTTCAGCTTTTAAGCAGGAAGGACACAGTTGATTGTATCATGTGGTTTAGTGAGTGGGTATGTTAGTGCTTGCTTCTTTCTCAAATGATGACCACTAGTTTACAGGGTTTATTGTAATTTTGCTTCATTTCACTCTAAAACTGTGAGACTAAACGGGGACTTGTTTGGTAAGGAAACATTTTATGCTTTTATTTAACGAAACTGAAGTTTTTATTTTGTGATTGTTCTTTTAGTGCACTGACAGACACATTTATGTGATTTTCTTTCCTGGTGATTTAGTTTCACTCATTTCACATGTCAGATGTTGTTAACAATGGTTCCTTATGATGACAGCTCGTATTGCACAGAGGAAGTTTGGATTAAGAATTTGTTTTAAAGAAATATGAATAATCTCTTCAAAATCGATAATTCAAGTGATTAAATGTCTGATTTGTGTTTTTAATTCAGGGTTTCAACAACAGCATCAACAAGTTCCTGTGTGTGAACATGGTGACAGTCGACATGTTGCTGATTGTCCTCTTTGTTCCAGGTGAGCTGTTAGTTCAGTCATTCACAGACACGGAGTCATTTTACAATCTGAACTTTATTGACAAACAAAATCTGAAAGGCCAGTGAAGATAGAGTCAACAATTTATTAATCATGACAGTGTATTTACAGGTGTTTTGACTGATTGTCCTGATGAAGCAGACCTCTCCATAACTGCACCAAAGAAGCTGGAAGCACTGAGTGGATCTTGTTTGCAAATCCCATGTAGCTTCAGACCCAAAGACGAACAGACATTTATCAGCACAAGTGAAACTTTTGGAGTGTGGATTAAAAACAATTCTGATATTAACAAAATCAAAAACAATGTGATCTTCAACAGTAGTGGAGCAGTTAGCACCTATCCAATGAGTATTACTGGGAACCTGAGTCAGAGAGACTGCACCACTCTGTTTTCTACTTTAACCACCACATACACAGACACATACTTCTTCAGAGTAGAGAGTGAACCATTCAAGGCGACAGCTCATTGTGATCCTCTTCAAATAACAGTCAGAGGTGAGTTATTTTTAAAATAAATGAATGTTTAATAACAAAATGACAATAAAACACATTCAAATAGATTTCTGTATTCTAAAATAGAATTTTTTCAGCCTAAAAGTTTCAATACAGTCACAGTGATTTTCCTGATTTACATTTTATTTCTTAACTGTACAGGATTCTTTCTGAAGCATTCAATATATATCAATATACTGTTTTTATTGTGTCATAACATTTTGAAAACAGTTTCAGAGTGTGACAGGTCTGTACAGAACACAGTATCGTTTAAAGCCAGTTCTAATCTCCGTCTCACTTCATGTAAAATAATTCCAACTAGACGAAGCAAGAATGGACTTTTAACTTCCATTTCTGCATCCAGCTCTACTGATGGCTTTCAGAAGTGTTCCTGAGCTCACGCACTGATTCTTTTGACAGAACTGTGTGTGTTCAGTGCAGTTTGACCTCAGGCCATGAAGATCACAGTCATTCAGTAATGATTTTGGGATTTTTACAACTTCTGCCAATTTGGTTTAAACTGTCCATTCCCTTAACATATTTACTACTGACAGGCTTCACTCCTTTTATGTCCATGCATGTTAACCCTATAATGCCCTTTGTATCATAACCTCTATCTCATCAACATGATCAATATTTGCCATAATTTCAAAATGTTATGGACAAAACTGTTTTTTTAAAAAAAATGAACATTGTTTTTAACAAACAGTTGCCACGTATCTTATGCAATACAAAAAAATATAATAAATATTTAATACAAAATATATCATGATATAGCAAACAAAATGTGGATTTTGTTATAAGGGTTTATAAACATCTCATTTCTAAAAAATCTGAATTTTCTGGCTATTTTTTGATGGGTTGGGTCTTACAGGGTTAATAATAACAATTATTTGTAAGATATGAAAAGATGACAAAACAAATATCTTAATGAGATAAAAAGTAATCTGAAATCAAAATAAATTGAATAAAGTAAAATAGAAATGATAATACACATCATAAAAATATTTGAAAATCAAAAAAAAAACAATGCACCAGCAAACATGTGACAGTGGAGTGGTTCATAATCACCGTGTAAAGTGTAGTGTGCAGTGCAATGCAGTACACTGGATTAGAGTGTGTTAAGTGTAGAGTTTAAATAAATTGATAACAGAACAAATGATTCTACATTAGAAAGATATAGTGTATTATATACTGTATTTATTTGTATGTATTTGCAACATCTTTGAAACCACAGATTCTCCTTGGAGGCCCAATATTACAATCCCAGGTGATCTGAAGGAGAAGGAGTCTGTCACTATAACCTGCTCAGCTCTCACTCCCTGTCCACACTCCCCTCCTCAACTCACCTGGAATCTCCAACAAGACTCTCACAACAAAACAGAGAAAAACACAGATGGAAGCTTTACAACTAAAATCCAGCAGATCATCACTCTGTCAGACACACATGATGGAAAGAAGATCAGCTGCTCTGCCAGATATCCTGTGAACCAAGGAAACGACACCAAGACAGCAGAGACAGAAGAGACTCTCAGTGTTTCATGTAAGACAATCAGAGTTTGTTGTTGAACTGGATCCTATAGGACAACATGATTTATGTTTTTCTCTCCAGATGCTCCTAAAGACACCTCAGCATCCAGCAGTCCATCAGGTTTAATGTCAGCAGGCAGCTGGGTGAACCTGACCTGCTCCAGCAGAGCCAAACCTCCAGTCAGCAGCTTCACCTGGTTCAAGAAGAGCAGAGATGGAGCTGTGAAAGTATCTGAAGGAGAGATTTACAGCTTCAATGTAACAGATGGAGGAGTTTATTACTGTGTGGCCACTAATGATCTGGGTAATCAGACATCAGCAGAGCTTCATCCAACAGGTAAATGCAGACAGCAGCACAAGAATCAATCATTTATTAATATTAATAAACTGTATGCAGAATTGTGATTAACAGGTTTGAATTTATTGAAGAAAGTTTAGTGAGAATAATGGGAACACATCCATATTTACAGAAATGAAAGCACTGTCAACAGGATCCAAGAGCTTTAAGTCATCCTCAGAAAATTCAAGCCCAAATAGAAGAAACAGAAGTGCCCATAACACATTAGTATCAACTGCTTGCTTGTCTTCTTCTGGTCAGATTCATTGCCCTAATGCACAGAATGCTTTATTGTCTATTGAACTGAATGAAGTGACTTGATATCAATTAGGCCACGCAGAGGATGAAGTAGGGAGAACTGCTTTGCTGACTCATTCTTAAATAGACCAGCAAACAATCCAGCTTCCATTCATTTTCCATTGAGCATTTATTCCATATTTCAGTCATCCATCCACTTTGCAGTCAAGCGCAAGCACATGCAAGCTACTTGAGGGCAATCTAAAGAAGGCAAGGCATTTGACATGCACAAACGAACACAGTCAGCAAAAGAAATACAGTCTATTAAATCTATCATTCATTAAAACCTCCCACATGAACCCAAATCCCTGGAATAGACATACAACACCATGCAGACACAACCTTATCACCACAAAGTTTGTGGCCCCAACATTGAATATGATGCTGTTTTAAATAAGACATGAAATTATTGATTGAGATCATTAAGTTAATAGGAAAGCTTTCACTCTCTTAACATTTGATTGAATGTAAATAGATGAAACCATTCACAGCAACTTGAACATTTAAGTTACCTTCAGATAAGCCTGAACACTCAGTGACAAACATGATATTTATCAAAGTGCATTTGTCACTAACCTTTTTATATCTGCAGGAACACATCAGCCTTTATCATGGTCTGCTGTAGGAGGGATCACTGGGATCATCTTACTCATCTGTATGGTTTTTGTGTTTTGGTAAGACTCTAAGATCAACGTCCAGTCCAGATTTATTCCATCTGTGGAATATCGAATTTTGTCTCACTTTTCTTTATCTTGTGATATTGCTTGAAACTGTCAATGGTTTCATTTTGACTGAACTTTTAACTAAAACCAGTGGAAGTGTTGAGGTATATCTTTAAGTTTATAGCTTCAGTATTTCAGTTTTTGTATCACTGGGAAAACAAAGCTACAGATGTGAAGTTTCTTCAGATTGTATCATAAGATGCTGAAATATTCCACAAAATAGAAATATTTTTTCATGCAAATGATGATAGGATGCATTTTATCGTTCCTGTGTGTCTGAAGTTCCCTTTGTGAGTTTCTAAGTTATGTAATTAATTAATTGCACAAGATTCATAAACATATTTTGAAGAGTGTAAACACGTAACCATTTATTTTGCAATGAATGTGTTGCTGTGATGGATTCTGGACTGACCTGTTCAATTAAGCTGGTAGGAAATGTTTCAGGTAGATTGCTGAAGACATCATTATTATTATTATTATTATTATTATTATTATTATTATTATTATTATTATTATTATTATTATTATTATTATTATTATTATTATTATTAT